TAAAGAAGTTTAATTGGATTTTAATAAAGATAGAGGCATGGCCTCACCTTTGAAGATTAAAAAAAAAAAAAAATTATATCATAATTAAATTTTATTTATTTTTATTTTATAGATTAAGAAGTAGTAAAATTGAATATTAATTTATCAATTTATTTTTATTTATTTTATTTATTTTTAAGATTTATTTAATCATTAATCGAATATTACAAATAATTTATTTTTCATAGTTTTTTCATATTAACATATTTGATTTCGAATTAATATTATCATCATTCTCTTTTGGGGTTTTATTTTCACTTTCTTTGGTAGGATTTTGTTCTTCAGAATGTTCATTATTTTCATTAACTATTACTTTTGTTTGCTGTACTTTAGGTTTTTGTTTTGATACCTATCTTCATAGCTCATCAAGTATTGATTTTACTTTTTATTACTATTTTTTGCATTTTCTAAGAATATATTACTTTTATTTGTTGAGTAAGTATAGTTCCATTCAATTTCTGAGGTCAAAATTTGAACCATGTTATTTCCTTTATATAATTCACCATATACAGACAATATTGTCCTGAATTCTAATGCTTTTTGAATACCAATGTGCCTTGAACTTTCTGCATTATATGAACATGCTATTTCTGAAGTGATATAGTGTGTAGTTAAAGGATTATAAGCTCTACGCTTCAATATAAAGTAGAAAATTGTATTCATATTAATTTCCCAAAATTTATACAAAGCAGTACAAGCTCCAAATGATGGGCATTGTAGAAGATAATATACTGACAGTTGTCTTTTATAGTTTTCAAATCTAATAAAATTGCTTAGGTAATAATAACCTTAATTTTTTTATTTTTAATTTTTTTTGTTTGTTATTTATTTATAATTATTATTAGTTTATTATTATTATAAATATATTTTTTTTGTGAAGTAAATATTATTAACTCTTATATTCAATTGAGAGTCTTCTAGAACAAATCTTCCAATAATTAATATAATTGTGTTTTGTTGAATTCTGTTAATCATATGTTCATTGTTAACAAAAGAGAATGTCTTGTAATTATAATGCACGAATTCATCATAACTGATTCTATATATAGCAATACCAGTTAAAATTGAAGCACTCGAGACAGTTTCGATAAAAAAAACAGCAACAAAGATTGATGTTATTTTTTAAAAGCAATTAAAACAAATTTTACTAATAATAATAAGTACATTTCATCATTTATACATATATATATTTTGAAAAATTCGATATATTTAGAATTAATTTAATTATCTGAAGATATATATCGAGTTTTGAAATCTCTTGTTAAACAATTTAATTATGATATTACATTTAATTAGAATTGTCTAGAAATCATTAAATTGCAATATTTAACTAATTTATTTATTAAAATCACAGCATATAAATGTTGTTATATTTTAATAATTACTTGTAATTTATTTTAATATATTTAATTTAATAACTACTTATAATTTATTATTTATTTATTTATTACTTGTTATTTATTTTTGGAAAACTAACACAAGAAAATAAATCAAGATCTGAAATCTTGTGTTAAATGATTTAATTATGATATCACTTTTTTTAATAATTGCTCATGATTTATTATTTATTATTTATTACTTATAATTATTTTTTGAAAACTAATCTATGAATATAAATCAAGATTTTAAATCTTGTATTAAACGATTTAATTACGATATCACTTTTAAGTAGATTTTCCAGAAATTATTACCAAATCATAATATTTTATTTTTTAAAAAAATTATGATATATTAATAATGTAATATTATTTAAAATTTTACAAATGATACATATATACGTAATTTGTATTATTTTTCAAATACAATATACTAATTAAATAAAAAAAATCAATTTTTTATCGTCTTGTGATATATTTTTATTCCGAGGTTCATTATTTGTTTGCTTGATATGCAAGAAGTTGATCATTTAAAGTTTAAAAATTGAAAACCAAAACTTCTTATAAATCGATTATTTTTTTCATTTTTATTCTTCGTACGTAATAAATTTTAAATAAGAATGCTCTCTCCACTCGCTCTCTCCACTCATTCTGCTCTTTATGCTCTTGAGTTTTCATGCTCTTGAGTAAGTAGACTATTTAAAACATTTTATTTCCCATATAACAGAGCTATACTAAATCGAGAAAAGACCAACTTCCAAAAATCATAAAGTATATTTATAAAATTCTAAGACTTTAGATGGCAACTTAGATCTAATACAACCTATCAGCCTTGTAGAGCATATTCGTAAAGTATACACTAAAATCCTTACTAATCGACTTAGTTCAGTCTTTTCTC